TTGGGCATGCATTTTGTTAGCATTCAGCACAACGCTTATTGAAGGAAGAGTAACTTACATTTTATGTTGCTTTATTACAAAAACAGAATAATATCTAATCCATTTTCAGCTGTGTATTTCCAGTCAGGTTAGGTAAGTTCAAAAGCTTGTTTGCTTATCTCTGAGGGTTAAAACTCACTAGCCGATTGTTTAATCTCCATATATGTATTGCAGCTAGCTTCAATAGATCACAGCTACAAAGTCACAGCTATTTAGAGCTTCCCCATAATATCAGGGACAAACACGCATGATGAGTAACTAACTATGCCTATGGTGATGAAAAATCAGAATGCTCCTCCTAGGCTAAACAGCCAAACAAACACCCCCTCAGCCTAGATGACTTCCAAAACAGCCCTGGGAATGAATAACGGCAAGATAATCTTGCCCCAGGTCCAGCCAAGATACTTCCAAAATGCCCCAGGATGGCAGCAAAACTCAGGATTCAACCAGTCGGAAATGTTCAAGCTCATTAAAGAGGTACATGTTCTAGTATATGGTGGCTTTGAATGATTAGAAATACCAATCCTTGCACTCTCCAATCTGAGAGGTTTATTTTTTGTAGGCGCAAGTCAAAGCTAGAGTGGGCCATGATACCATGAAGAATCAGGTAACCCCAAAAAAAAAAAAAAGCCCCTAATATAAGAGACGACATGTGAAACACATTTAACAGAAAACGGAGGAAATCATTTGATAAATTGAATTAAATCATTGACCCATCATCACATCTCTCCGTCTATCATTTCTATCCATGCGTCACTGCATCTTACCTCTGTATCAGCATTTTAGTGACAAAAACTAAGGCTTTACAGTTTAAATTATTCCCTTGATTCAATGGTCGCCAACAGGCACATTGCTGGGCAGCACTTAAATGGCAATTTTCCATCCATCAAACTACAGTTATAGCATGAAGAATTATAGGATTCTTCGAGATTTTAACACATTACTAGGAGGAAGGGGGGTGGGGAGGCATTAAATTCAACAAACCCTAATAAAGATTTTAGCCTAATAAGCAAGAGCATAAAACAGAAACACAGAGAAAGGTGGATGAAAGAACATGTGCGGCACTTACCAATCCAACAAGACAAGCATTTCTTGAAAATCAGTATTATCCTTAATGATTTGATTTATAAGCTGGAGTACAGAACATATGACCTGCAATAATGTAGCATGTAAGACGTCTGTGCAGCGCCCACCAAGTACGCAAGTGTCATACATACAGTAATAATAGTCATATGAGGTAACATGAGAAACTTACACGAGTTTTAGGAACTTCTAGCAAGTCCGTAAGTGGAAGTAAACCATGCTGGGTAACAAAACCAATCTTCTGCTCTGGACGTTGGTGAAAGATAGTGATAAGCTTCTGACATGCAGTGACAATCACATCTTCAGATTCCTCTGGTCGCAATGACCCAACTAATTTGCTGAACTCAACAGCCTACAAAAGAATTATTACAGTAAATACATCAAATTCTGAGTCAAAAACTATGAAGCACTGGGGAACCATTTCAAATTTTGCCAATATTGAAGCACCCGTTAAAGGACAATTGTTAAAGATTGTAGGCTCAAATGAACAGAAATAGACAGATAATTACCTTGAAAAAAAAAAACTTAAATACTGAAGACTAAAAGCATGAGACACTTTGTTAAACACAATTGGGGACCCTATAGGTAAAGTTTACGAATATTGTTGGATAAGATGCCACTCAAAGGTTAAAGATGATGAACTCAAGGAGTTCTCCCATCATTAAAATTTGCTGATGATCGTTGTCCTTATGATATTGCATATTATCCTCTGCTTTGTATTCATTTACCAAACATACACAAAGCATGACAGATAAGGAAGAAAGATTTAGCATCGCCAAACATGACAGCTGGTCCAATATGTTTAAGTTCAAGACCTCCAATAGTGATAAGAGATTATCAAAAAAGTTCAAAACAATCAGTTGGATAAATTTGTTAAGACTCTGCCCAAGATAAAGTCAGTTTATCTTAAACGAAAATCAACAATGTGATCTTTACAAATTATATGAGGGAGTAGTTCTAACATAAGCAGTTAACAAGTTGAGTGATACGTAGTTGTTAGTTGAGCAAAGGAATAACATGCAATAAGGAGGCTTGACGTAAGTGCTTTTCCTACTTTCTCATGTATCAGTTTCAATTACTTCCTATCTTTTCTTTTTTCTTTTTAACTACTCTCACGGTGCTTGAGTAAACCACTACGGTCATGAACAAGTGCCATGTCACCAATTTTGAAGCAAAGATTTTTCCTACATATCCTCATTTCAACAATTATGTTTACCAACAACAAGTACACCTCCTCAAGTGAAAACCCAATGGGCATGAAGCACGGATGAAGCACAAGTCTGCCACACATTGTGTGGAAGTTTAACATAATTTTTGGACAAGTAGGACATCTTCTGCTGGTCCATCATAAAGGATTTAGTATCATGTTAAGGAACATTCATCTCAAAATCTTGTGAGAAAGAAGGTCCGAAAATAATATTACTAATATCTCTAACATTACTAGCAGGAAAATAAATCTTGTCAAAACATTCAAGAACATCCAAAACCAAAATTTAACCGAAGAGAACATACTGGCAGCCACAGACTAGGCATAACAGAGTATTTCATGCTGAAAAGGTATACCATTGTAAGAAGAAATATCGACATCATATTATCACAAAAAGATAGCTCAAAATATAACATTGCTCAGTACCTGAAAAGGGAAAAGGTTTTCTCCAGGCAATTTTTCATCAAAAACCTGATTGAAAGAATATAGCAAGTGCAAGGGTCAAAGGAATGAAAAAATGAATTATAAAGAAAGAACTTGATAGTCTAAACTGAATATCATACCAGACCATCTATATCAATTACATCATCTTTTATGACTCCCATCATTAAGGCTAAAAGATTCCCACCACTAGTATTCTTCCCATTTCATTCTCCTTCTCCCACGGCTTCCTAGCAATAGTTTCCCTCAACTCTTTCGCCAAATCACTTTTCCCACCATTATTCATAGATGCATTATCATTTGTCCTGTGTGATGTGGATGTAGATGTGGAAGCCTCAGCTGCAGAGTCTCTAGGGGTTTATCTAATGGATGAAATAAATCATCCAAAGAGGCATCTCCAGGAGGATCGCTAAATCTGCTCAGCTCATTCCCTTCCAAAGAGGGAAGCATCTTCATAGCCTTCAAACAGAAATCAGACAAGTCCAAGACTCTATCATTCACAGAAAACCAAAAACAAAATACATTTTCTTGCAGAATTATAGCAAATAATCAAGGCATATTGAATCTTGTAAGCTCTTCAGTGGACTTGAGCTCCAATCTAGGGACTATGATAGACCGACAAAGTTATGGCTATAATAATTCATACCGACCAACACGTCTTTTACCATAAATAGACTACAATGGCTGAGGCTTGGTTTGTCAATTCCATGGAACCACTTCTTTTTAGCACCTATCTACCCCCCAAAAGTGCCAAAGAAATATGAAATGCAGTAAAAGAACTGCACATAGACATGGGAGAACACCGGTTTTAAGATTTGTTCAGCAATCGAAAAGCACAAAGCAAGGGACACTATTGGTCACTGGCAATTATAAAAGACTCACCGAATTTCAGCAAGACCAATTCTATGAAATGAATTTGGTTGCTCAGGGAGAAGATTTTATGTATAAAAAATTAATAGAAAAAGGGAGAGCTTTCCACTTTCTCTTAGGCTTCAGCAAGAACCTTGATGAAGTGAGGGTTGTAGACCAAAACTTGTCCAGACTCCAGATATCAATAAACCATTTGACACTGTTTGGAGAGAGGAGATTTTAAATAAAAATAAAAAAAAAGTGATAATTCAAGAGCCAAAGGAATCACATCAGGAAATAACCAAAGTTCTGCTTTTGCCACCCAACATGCTTCTTGATCTAGTAATATAGGAATCATATCTGTTCCTTTCTTTCTTTTTGAATCCCTTGTATTATGCAATTATATGGTACTAGCGTTTACTTCCCTTCTTGCTAGACATTTGCACATATTCGAGTATCAGTTAACCAGAAAAATGAAAGTGAGAATCCAATTTGATCTCCTAGATTTTCATGATTCATGCAACCCACACCACCTCAAATGCAGCTGCATCAGCTGCTTCTGACAACACTGACCCTGAGGAATGCAAACTTCACCTCAAAGTGAAAAATAAAAGGTGCGTCAGAAGAACTTGCAGATTTTCTAACTCAGAGCACCCTATTATTGAATCAAAACGAAAAACATTTGAACGAAAGGGGGAAAAAAACAAATGGCAATGCAACATTTTTTTTTTTTTTTGTTACAAAGGAGGCATCAGACTGACAGTAGGAGGCTGGAAAAGAGACAGGGTAAGAATTGAACCGTTGCCATCACTGAGGCTGCTGCCATCTCTGGTATAAGCTCATTAGCGACATTTTAATACAGAACAATTACAAATTTCTTCTCTGACTTGATGAGCACATAGCATACACATCTTTAAAAGGGCAAACATGAAGAAATAACAGCAGTAAACAAGGCAACATAATACTAGAGAATTAGAAATGATATTCAATTAATTCTTAAAGTACCAGAGATGATTAAGCTTTATAGCTGACTCCTGGCAACATTTAAAATCAAGTAGCTACTTCAGTTAACCCTCTTTACCTTTAGGGAACCATTGTCCTGACTTCTTGGTCCAAAACAGAATGATATACTGCCACTGGTGACAGAACTACCCTTTCCCCCAGGCTTTCTATCAATCCCTCGTGATTCTGGAGATCCAACTTCTCCATGCATCATGACTTCATTATGGTCTTTTGTATTGGGAATGTCATGATCTGTACTCATCTCTGTGATAGCAACTTCTCCATTAGAACAGGGCTTACTAGATCCAGTTTGTAGAGACAGCTTCTCATGAATAGCTAAAGTGAGAACTTGATCTGAAAACACATCATCCTGCTTCTCTATTTTCTCATTCAGAAAATCAGAATCTGAACCTAAGTCCTCATGACGTTTGCTGCCACCAACAACCTCAATTGACAGCTCTTTCAGTGGGTTCTAAAAAACAACAAAATTGAAACCAGTAACATAGGCAAATATAACCAGACTGCTTCAATCACTGAAGTAAAGACACTAACCACTTTCTCCACAGATGAGCCTTCACCAGCACTCTTCTGATCATCACCAGAAGCTGCTACATCTGTGGAATCATCTTCCTCTATATTTCTGCATGAGGTAACTTACTAACTTTTTTGCACAACTCACAAAACTACAACAATTATATGAACTGGAAGTGAAAAACATTTTGTTATTATTCAAAGACAAACAAGTGCATAGTCATATGCACTGACATTAACACGTAAACTAAGAAAACTCCTGGTTCTAGAAAAAGTTCTATTCAGAAATATTACATATTTCAACAGAGCTGAAACAAATAGAACACGATCCACCGTACCCGCATTCATCTATAAGAATGAAGATCAAGAAAGTTTCAAAAATTTATTAGTAGCTAACCATTGATGTAACGTGATCATTACAAAGCAAGAATACTACGGCTAGGCTCAAAATCAGAATAAAATGATCCAACGCAATAGAAAGGAACATTCAAGAATCTTCGCATTTAAAATCAGCATTGCATTGAAAGGGGGGAAAAAAGAAAGTAGTATAAAAAAGAGCATTATATACTCTATGAAAAGTGAAGAGGCAATGATGAACAGCAAAATTTGGTCAAAAATGATGAACAGAAAAGAACATCAATACAATGAATGAAATTTTGAGTCTGACTTGCAGCTCAAACTTCTGGGGTAACCTGTCGTTACATATTGTAAATGCCAGTTTTCTTCTTCATAACTATTATGCTAGATCCATAGGGGTACCATAATTGCTTTTGGACGGCCTCCAACTGGGATGGGAACCACAAACCCCCCAAAAACAAATAAATAAAAAATAAAAGCTAGCCAATAAGGCAAAGAATCAACCACCAAAGCATCCTATAGAAAACACACACTACTCAGTGTTAGACTAGGAATCTTAAACTAGCTTGGTCTCCATCAAAAGTGAACGTCCTCAGAGAGCAACATACAGTTGCACTTTCTGCCACTTCACTTGAGTTCCTCAAGATCAAAAACTTTTACAAGTAGCCTTTCCTAGAGTCAACAACCACCAGCTTCGATACCAATAGAAGGGTAGCTTAGTGGGGTGAGGAACCTCCCCAGAAATTAAGATTTTTTTTTTTTTGGGGGGGGGGGGGGGGATTAACTACTTCATAAAGCAACCCACATTCTTTATATGGGACTGCAGATCCCGCTTGTTGGTCTCCACCAGTTTCCTACATATAGTGAAATTTGATCTAAGAATTATTGCATATTTGCATTCCAGATTGAATTTGGTTTGGTCTTGAAACCAGGTATATCGTACTTCTTTATACTTCTTCAACAGTTCAATGTGACTTTTCTTGAAATACTATTCAATCTTTTGCACTTATCACTTAGTTATTGACGTTGATTCACAATTAAGCTATTCTCTGTGCATGCAACAGTACAGATTCTTTTCTGATGACTCTGATTTCAACCAAGGTTTGATTGCAAAGGGCTTCTAAAGATTATCCTTCAATTTCTGAACATCTAAGTTCGAAGTCCACCCTGCCACCACAATGCTCCATACCTTTTCTTCGCACCATAAACTCATTTTTTCTGCCTTAGAGAACTTTCGCACGGAACCAACCGAGGATTGGGATTCAACTTCGCAGCTTCAATGAAAATCTGATGATAAGAAGCATGCCCAGAATATTCTAAGAAAAGTCATCACAAACATGTGTTGGCTTCCATTTTGTTACATATAATTGCTACTAGCTGGTATTATTTAGACAACTACAGTGGCCCCTCATACATGAAGTCAAAGATGAGCAACGATGTTTGTGATTGATGATTGATATAGCTCCCAATAAAATTTATATTACATATTGTTATTGGCATTAATTATATAATTTGCAAGAAGACTCCCAATCATTAGAGATGTTTAGGCCATAGCAAAGCCTTTCTAATTGTTTTCTCAATAGATATAATCATGCTTATCCCTTTTGGCTTCTTGTTGTGATCGCTTTTCCCTTTTGCATTGACTACTTAGGTGTATCAAAGCATTAACTGCATCCACTTATGTTTTCCTTCAAAATCACAGTAAAAAAATGCCACGTAATGAGCTGGTATAAAACTAAATGGCACACGCAAGTAAAACCTTTGGATAAACTACGAAGGAATCAATTAGCCTGAAATCATGGCTACCAACAACAACAAGAAGTCTTATCCCGCAAAGTAGAGTAAGTTATATGGATCGCACAACACCATTATGTTCTATAAGAAATCAATTCCTCTGGTAAGTCATTAATAAAAAAGATCTTGGTTAATGACTTCTTTAAGTGTCCTTCTTGGTCTCCCTCTAAATTGTAGGTACGATTGTTCCAAATTTGCCAAAGGCATCAAGCCTAACCTATTGCAAATGGAAGATTTTGCCCTTCTAATTCCAAAAAAAATAAAATTGACACAGATCTCAACCTGCAGGCTACTGTGTACTCCAAATCTCCAAGTAGAAATACACAACTAAGAAAGGTACCATTTTCAGCAATGAAAAATGAAAATTAAAACAGGAAAATAGAAAAAGCTTATCCAGCGAGAAAATAATCAATTTGTTAAAACTGATTCATTAAGCTGAAAGTCAGACGCCTTAAACCATGGAAGTCTACACAAGAATCCATGCATAGGCATTGCTCCAGACAGACTTCAAATTCCGATACAACAAAAATGTCAGCCGTAAGTTACTTTCAAAACACAGATAAAACTAGCAAAGTGATTTTACGGATCAAAACATTGGAGAAAGATTATGTAGCTTGCACCAAAAGAAATCCCAGAGTAACAGCATGATAAGGTCTCAAACTATCTACCTTAACGTTCCACTGTGTCGAAGAGATGACTGCAGCGCCCGCCTACAATTTTGTATCCATGGGTGCGATAACAGAGCCTTAGCATCAGGCCTTTGTCTAGCATCCTGAGATAAGCAACAGAGCCTTATGTGAATTCGAGATTTAGTTACCAACCAGATGTAAGCCCCCCTGGCTTTGAATGGAGTCTAAGAAATAAGTTGCATTATTCATAACTTAGGAGTAGAGTGGCTTCCTGTAAATTTTACATATCAGTGTTATGAATGTCGAATTTATCATTGAACCAGTAGGCAACAATTCAAAAATTCACTAATTGAACTATAGTCAAATGGTGGTCAAACTGATCATAATTAGATTAAATATTTTTAATTATATATATGCATAGTAATACCGATGGAAATTCATATTAATATACTAAATATATTATCTAAAAAAGAGAAGAAAACATCTCATCTTAAATTGAATTTCAAATAAATCCAATTCCCTTAAGCTTAACCTCTAATTTTTAATTGAGCTGGAGTTTTAAGCCAGTAGAGATATGTTATATCATTATGATCTCCCATGCGATATATCTTCCACCACAACAACTCTTCAATGTAATGGGTTTTCATAAATTTATAAAACAGCTTCAAGTTCTCTTCTATCAAAGCCTATGCTTTCCAATTCCACCTGCAACTCACTACAAAGCGAAGGAACCTACAATTCCATGCATGTCAACCTCTAGTTCAGCACACCTCCTACCGGCTACCATTTCTTCTTAAACCTTCATCCTGCCAACTCTCGCCCATAGCCCAACTCCAACGTTCAATTGCACTTCTCTGTACTATATCTCAACTTCCAATTTCTCTGTCCATGGAAATTCACGGCTTCACATTCAGGCTCAACTTTAAATACGACTTCTCATGGATGTTGTTTCTACTGATTTACAAGGAGGGCATGAAGCTGCAAATAGAGTTTGAAGGTTCTTGTTGTTGGATTTAACCAATGAAATCCATAGAAGTCATTAAGACAACTGTGCGAAAGGGCTAGACTTTTGGGTAAGCTTATGTCCCACATTCATTTAGAGAAGCGCAAACTGTTGTTTATAAAACATAACGTAGGCTGAGAGGCTGTCTGTTGATAGGTTTTGACTGTTTATTTTTAAAATAAAATGATTTAGTAACCCCAAGTTTTGCTTTTTCTTGACTGATTTTATCATCCTATTTCCTTTTTTCCCGCCCATTTTTTAGCTGGACCGGCCAGTCCGGTTCAGTTCTTATAACCATCTTATATATTGATATATTGATAAATAAATGAATACAATGAAATAAAATTTACAATAACTACCGGAAATCAACTATACTTTCATTTGCTACATACATTTATCTTTCTGATGTAATTTTTTATTTTTTTTAGCTTTTATACAATTGTTTGTGGATGCAACTGGTAAATAGGAAACAAACATATGCACCCCGGAAAATGGCCTCATGCAAGGCCAGCATAAGCTATGCAAAACTCCATTTGTTACATACCTTTCAAACAACATGACACATGCAAGTAAGGTAACCGGCAAGGTGCCCAATATGGCCAAAATTATCTTCAGGAAACATAATACAAAAATTTTTCTGGACATCCCTAGTTTCCAAAAGCTTTGTAAAGTTTGATTCAATGAAATCAAATATGTGTAGCGATAGCTTGAAGCCTTTGATGCAAAATAAAGTGTGAAACCAAAGCCATTTCAGTGCTGAAATTGAGGCAATAAAAGGGGGTAAGATTTAAAAACGATGATGGCCCTCTATGTTTTATCAAAAGGGATCGCACTGCATTGAGAAAAGGCCTCTAATTCTGATGTTGAAACCATAATGTGCTAAGATGTTGACGCTCTAAATCACAAAGTACTATAATGCATACTTTCCAAGCACAAAATACCTGAACAGAAACAGAACAAACAGAGTATTAAAATGTAATTTAGCAATTAAAGAAAAAGCAAAAGCAGGAAATGGAAGCATTTTTGTACCCGTTTTCTTCATTTTTATTGATAGACACTCAATAGAAATTTTTTATATCACTCCAAGTACGTATGATTTAAAAGAGGGGGTGTGTGTCCCAAATTATACCTACCTAAGTAGCTTGACTAACAATTCCTATTTCCAATAGGAAACAGGCATATTGTATAGTTAGTTCTCCATTCACAAATTTTAACAGTTGAATAATTTCTCAATTTTCCCATTTTATGCTAAAGGTATATTCAAGAAATTCCTAAAACAAACAATAGCAGCTAAATACTACAAGGTTTTGGAGTAGGCAATGGGATATGGAAACCAAAGACCCAAAAAAACAGGAAAAGTAATATGCAACCAGCAACAATCCCTTGATTACACAGCGCACACATTAAGAATCACCAACGAACCACTAAGATAAAAAACACTTACCTTCTTAAAGCATTGACGCAGAAAATCGGTAATATCAGGAGAAAGGCTATTAGGAATTGGAGGATGCTCATCCTGGAGGAACAGCGGAAGGGTAAGAGCAAGTTCGATTTCCTCACAGAAAATATTTGGAACCATGAATTCATTATTGATTTTTTTTTTTGGGTGTTTGGATAGAAACCAAACCATAGTTTCAGAAGTGCTTTTACGGATTACGAAGTAAATATGTGGAGGAGGTTACCTCATTTTGCGGAAAAGTGATTCTGAAACCATGGTTTTGGTTTTACCAAACACCCCCTAATGTTTATTCAATTTTCTTCATTACTTTAGCATTGCTTGGGAGGATTACTTGACCTCCATTGAGTCCTTCTATCTCATCTCATCAATCAATCATTTCTTCATTAAAAAATTGAGTATTTCAACAATACAAGGAAACTTTTGCTCAGAAAAATAAATAAAGCAAGAAAACCGCAAATGATCAAGTTCACAAATTAGACAATCAAGCGTCAAACTTTATTGATCAAATCAACGTGAGAAATCAAGGTTAGTGGAGGCACACCTGAACAATACGAAAGAGAGCTGGCATAGGCTGTAGATCATAATACGGAGGAACGCATGTAAGAAGTTCAATAACAGTACAGCCAACACTCCAAATGTCAGAAGCAGCACAAACCCCAGACATTTCTATAACCTGAAAAAGTAAATAAGATCCATCAATTGAGCTATCATATTCAAGCCATATGCTTCACAAACATGAGTTGCTCCTATGAGCAACCGATTAACAACTTTAAATAATGATAAAAACTGAAATAGATAACACAGTTGACCAAACACAGTGTGTAAAAAGCAACGCGCATATACATTGCAGATTGATAGTACAAAGTACACGAGTCAAGATAAGTAATTATCCATTGAATCAATGCCCAAAAATCAATTAAAAACAACCAGTTTTGTCTATTAAGAGGGAATAATACAAAAAAAAAAGAATAAGAGATAGTCCTCAATCAAAAGAAGACAACAGGAAAAGGAAAACAGCCGGTCAACCAAACCAGTGAATTTCATTTATGTTTTTAGAGAAGTGAAAATTTCAAGCTAATCCATTACTTTGACAGGTTAAAAGGTAAGAAACAGATGCATTATGCAAAGCAGATAATCGGTAACAATGAGGAAAAGGATCCAGAAAAGAAGAATTCCCAGTCTAACGGTCCTCCTCAAGCCCAAACCAAGTTTTGAATAACACCAGATGGAATAAAAAACATTGGCAGCATGTGCGTGTGCGTGTGTGTATAAGAACAAAATGATCAGTTAAGCATATAAGAAACAAATGCATAAATGTGTAGGATAAACCCTTAAAATGCTGGCACACCACTAAAGATAATTTAAAAGGCATCAAAATAACAAGGCATACAAAACAAGCAATTCAGGAACAGAATTGTGGTCAATAAGGAAATATTTCAATATCACCGAAATACTAGAAGGGTTAAGGGGGATCAGTTTTTTATTTTGAATTATTCTTAATATATCTCTCCCTAATCTCTCATGTAATCTTCATGATTTACCTCAATCCTATATATCACCTGTACAGTACACAAATCAATACATATGAGAATTATTCAAGGTTTACGAGTTCTATATGGTATCAGAGCCAGTGGACTCTCATCCTTCATCCTGTTCGGCCAAAACATCCTCATCGTCCTCCACATCGGAGGAAGCTCGAGTGGGGTCAAACCCCAAGGGAGACTTGGTCGCAATAGACTCCTCTCTTGGTGGCTCCCCAATGAATTCAACCCAGACTGGAGGTCCCCTCAGGTCGACCTCTAGTCACGATGGATCTCCTATCATCACGTCCCGGAGAAGTTGATTGGCTCTAACTACCAGGAGTGGGCCCAAGCCATGCGTTTGGCCGTTGGCGGTCGTGAAAAAATGGGACTTCTTACCGGCGAGTCGAAGGAGCCCAGCAACCCAGCATCTCCAGCTATGCAACAGTGACTAACCGAGAATGCATTGGTTTCGTCGTGGCTGATCAACGCTATGTCTCTGCAACTTAAGCGCAGCTTCATGTACCTTCCATCAGCTAAAGCCATCTAGGATGTCGTGCGTGATTCTTATTCCAACGGCGAAGACTTGTCTCAACTCTATGAGATTAAAACTCATATTTGGCAGTTAAAACAAGTACTCGTTCTTTTACTAAACATTGGTTGGACCTCGTTGCTCTGTGGCAGGAACTGGATTTGATTACCCAAGAGGAGTGGTCCTCTTCTGTTGATGCTACCCGTTATCGATAGAATGTTGAGAAAGAACAAGTCTTCCAATTTCTTGCTAGTCTCAACCTTGAGTTCGATTAGATACGAAGTCGTATACTGAGTCAATCAACACTCCCAACCACTCGTGGGGCGTTCTTGGAGGTCAGACGGGAAGCCTCCGTCGTCAGGTTATGTTATCTACTCCGTCTCATTTTGTTTCTGAGTCCTCTGCTCTTGTCAGTAAGGGTGCCACTTCTTCATCATCTAATAAGACTAAGGTCTCTTGTGATCACTACGAAAAGCCAGGTCACACCCGTGACTGTTGTTGGGAAATCCACAATAAACCAGCTGATTTGAAACCCCGTAAGGGTAAGCCCCATGGCTATTACGTGTCTCAAGACTCTTACTCATCTCCTCTGACAGCTGCATCAATTGCTCACTGCACTAAAAGGTCTTCAAACGCAGCAACAACCACCTACTGCCTCTGCCTCCATAGCCACAACAGGTAATACTCCATTTGCTCTCCATACCGTGTTGCCATCCAACAAATGGATTGTTAACACAGGTGCCACTGATCATATGACATCTGATGCTCGTATGTTTATTACTTACTTCCCCCATGCTGGCAATGAGAAAATCACCACCACTACTAGCACTGGTTCTACTATTGCTGGGAAAGGAATGGTTAATATTTCTGATTCTCTTCGCCTTGACTCAGTTTTACATGTCCCACACCAAGCTTGCAATCTTCTCTCTATTAGCAAGTTGACTAAACACACAAATTGTGGCTCTTATTTTTTTCCTACCTTCTGTATTTTTCAAGATCTCTCATCGGGGAGGATGATTGGCACAGCTAGGGAACATGATGGACTCTATTATCTTGACGTCTCCACGAGTGCCTTGTGTGCTCGAATAAGTGGTTTTGTCTCTGCCTCTGACAATAATAATATTTTATTATGGCATAAAAGGATGGGTCATCCTAGTTTTTCTTATTTGTAAAGTTTGTTTCCTCAATTTACCATTAATAAAAATTCTGTTCTGCATTGTGATTCTTGTGAGCTTGCCAAACACCACCGTACATCTTTTCCACCATCACATTACAAAACCACTCGTCCATTTTCTATAATTTTTCTATAATTCATAGCGATGTTTAGGGTTCGTCTCGTGTTTCAAATCGTTCTCATGCCAAGTGGTTTGTCATGTTTATTGATGATCATACATGCATGTCTCGGATCTACTTACTTAAAGAAAGATCCGTTGTTCCCGTTGTCTTTATCGAATTTTTCAACCTTGTCAAAAATCAGTTCAGCACCACCATTCAAGTTTTATTCACTGATAATGGCATCAAATATTTTAATCACCAATTAGCCACTTTTCTAAAAACCAATGGCATCATTCAATCCTCCTAGTCCACAACAAAATGGGGTGGTTGAGTGTAAGAATAGGCATCTACTTGAGGTCACTAGAGCACTTCTTTATACTTGTAATATGCCTAAACATTTTTGGGGCAACGCACTCCTTACCACTACTCACTTTATCAATCACATGCATAGTCGTGTTCTCTCTCTTGTCTCCCCCTCGGACAAACTCCGGGAAACTCATCTTGTTGCTCATCTTGATCATCACCTTCCGCTTCGTGTCTTTGGTTGTTCTGTCTTTGTTCATCTTCATCAAACTCCATCCAAATTTGATCCTCGTGATGTTAAGTGCATTTTCTTGGGGTGTTCCTCTCGTCAAAAGGGATATAAGTGTTATGATCCTGTTTCCAAGCGTCTATATGTTAGTCGCGATGTCACTTTCTCCGAACATGATCCTTATTTTCCTACGTCTTCAATTCAAGAGGAGAGTTTGAGTGAATTTCAGCCTATGGAACCCATACCTGAACCCATACCACCACCACTTCTTGAGTCTGCTCCATCTGTTGAGTCTGTCCCACAAATTGAACCTACTCCCTCCACCGTTGCAGAAGTGCCAGAGGCAAAGGGAGAGAAAACCAACAATGAATATCACAAGGTTTAGTCACAACGGGATAAAGAGACTATAGAGCTCAACAGGCCCAAAGCCTTGCCAGAATCTGACCAGATGAAAGATCCTAAACCCACAGAGGCAGTAAACGAAGACAATCTACCCATTGCCTTAAGAAAGAAGAGTTGTTCTTGCACCAGGCATCCTATCCAAAAGTATGTATCATATGCAACTCTTTCTCATGATTATCGTGCTTTTGTTACTGAACCTGATAACATCAGAATCCCTAACAATGTGTATGAAGCACTTGACCATCCTGAGTGGAAAAAGACCGTGATGGAAGAAATGAGGGCACTAGAAAAGAATGAAACATGGGAAGTGGTTGACCTACCAAAAGAGAAGAAAACAGTAGGATGCAAGTGGGTCTTTACTCCAAAGTATAATGCTGATAGTACACTCAACAAGTTTAAGGCACGCCTAGTCGCTAAGGGTTTCACCCAAACCTATGGGATAGACTACAATGAGACATTTGCCCTAGCAGCGAAGTTAAATACAATCAAGGTTCTGCTATCTATTGCAGCCAATTTAGACTGGTCTCTACAACAACTAGACATCAAAAATGCCTTTTCAAACGGTGAATTAAAAGAAGTGTACATGACGCTTCCTCCTAGTTTTGATAAAGAAAAACAAAATAAACTGTGTAAATTGAAGAGATCTTTGTATGGCTTAAAGCAATCTCCTCGTACACGGTTTGATACGTTCTCCAAGGTCCTAAAGAGTGAGGGCTATAAGCAAAGTCTGTCTAACCATAAAATGTTTGTTAGGAAAAATAGAGCACTAACAACTATCTTTATTGTTTATATGGATGACATTGTTCTTACAGGTGATGATGTGAATGAGATAAATAGAATAAAGACTGCCTTGAATCAAGAGTTTGAGGTCAAGGACCTAGGAAAACTCAAGTATTTTCTAGGCATGGAGGTTGCTCAATCAAAAAGGGGAATTTATGTTTCTCATAGAAAATATACCCTTAATTTGCTTAAAGAGACTGGCATGCATGGTTGCAAGCCAAGTAAAACTCCAATAAGTGTTTAGAAGTATTGTACCAAACAAAGCAAGAAGAAACCAACCTCCAAAGAAGAGGCAGAAAAAGAAAAGAAACGGCAGAAAGATGAAGAACCAGTGGACATTGGAAGATACCAAAGATTAGGTGGAAAATTGATATATTTATCACATACAAGGCCGGACATTGCCTTCGCAGTTAGTGTGGCAAGTCAGCATATGCATTCACCAAGAAAGAAACATATGGATGCAACCTATAGAATTCTAAAATATCAGAAAGGGACACCGGGAAGAGGACCCTAGTTCAAAAAATGTGACTCTAGAATGGTGGACATCTATACTGATACTAATTGGGCAGGTGATCAGGAAGACAGTAGATCAACATCTGGGTATTGTACCTTCTTGTGGGGCAATCTAGTAACATGGCAAAGTAAAAAACAGAAAGTTGTATCCAAAAGTGGTGCAGAATCGGAATTGAGAGCTTTGGCACAAGGCCTAATGGAAGGTCTCTAATTGAAAAGAGTAGCAGAAGAGGCACAAGTTCCTATCAATGAACTGATTAAACTATTTTGTGACAACAAGCCAGCTCTAAACATGGCGCTTAACCAAGTACAACATAGCAGAACCAAACATGTCAAAGTTGACCGACACTTCATTAGAGAAAAAGTAGAAGATGGGATTGTATGCTTATCCTATGACTTCAAAGCAGCAACTTGCAGACATGCTCACCAAAAGGCTTCCTGAAGATCTGTTCAAAAATTTCACAAGCAAGTTGGATATGATTAACATCTAGGATCCAACTTGAGGGGGAGTGTGGTCAATAAGGAAATATTTCAATATCACCGAAATACTAGGCGGCTTAGGGGGGATCAGTTTTTATTTTGAATTATTCCTAATATCTCTCCTTAATCTCTCATTTAATCTTCACGATTTACCTCAGTCCTATATATCACCTGTACAGTACACGAATCAATACATATGGGAATTATTCAAGGTATACGAGTTCTATAAGAATATCTTGCAATAAATACCTCTGGAGCCATCCAATATGGAGTTCCAACAACTGAATGCGTATTAACATCAGCCTCTGTCAACTTCGTTGCAACACCAAAATCAGCAAGTTTGACTAGACCCTACAAGCAGAAATTTGAAGAGTTTAGGAGAAGTAGGAATTGCAGGGAAATGCATGCAGTTAGGTAAAATTGCAGGGACTATGTAAATTTGCAGTGACTTTGTTTTAGCTTTGATATTTATATTGATAAGCCAAAAAGTAGACGATGTAACTGTGTCAAGTATAAGGGTGAAGTACAAGGAAACCGAAAGTGACAAAATACAAATTTACATCAAGTACTGAAATTATAGGCCAATAGCTAACAGCCATGATATGCTCACTGACACAGTGAAAACTTGTATACAAATTGCAGGGAGCTAACAACCATGTTATGCATAATATTCAATAACAGAACAACTCAAATACAGGACACGGACTTCCTCAACTTCTCTTCTATTTTTCACATTGTGCTATAAGAAACAACATGTAGCACAACGTTACGTTAATCCATAGAGATTGAATCATTTTGGCAGCTTGTCTATAACGGAACCAGCAGCCAAGATTGGGTAGTTGACTGAACCTTATTTTAAGTCTCAAGGCTACAAACAGAAATCACCAAGAAAAGCAAAAGGAATGTCAAAAAGGATAAAGAAATGCAACAATATGCAATATGCACTTTTGCAATCATGATAAAGAGGATAGAGTTAGAATTCAGTCACCAAGAACAACTAAATATAAACACAATAGCCCAGCAAAATCTTAAACTGAACAATTAAATTTAACTATGAAGGATTTTTTTTTTCCCTTTTTTGTTTAATCAATCTTCTGTACGTATTGTGGAATAAAGCATATTGATCAAATCACAAAGAAACAAAAAACATCACAAAAGCACAGCCTTTAAACATGAAGAACAAAGCAAGTAGGGTAAGTCAAGGAGGGAAGGGGGCCTTGCCTCTTTGGTTGTCAATATATTTGCACCCTTGATATCCCGATGGATGACACCCTGTTCATGTAGGTAAACCAAGCCTTCCAATACCTGTCTCATCTTAGAATTAATTCAGCCTATATTCCCTAAATTGTTAAACCCTACACAAATAGCAGAAATCAGTAATATTTGCACAAACCTGAGCGATATAAACAGCGACCAGTGATTCAGGAAAAGGTCCAAATTTATTTGGCTTGATAATATTAGCTAGTGAACCATTTTCCACATACCTATCAGTTGTAAACATATCAAATCCATTAATAGGTTTAGATAAACATCATATGACGTAACAATGATAGCTTTGAAAATAGAGTTGAGCTAACTTACTCAAGAATAATGTGAAGGTGAGTCTTTGTCTTCAAGGATCCAAGATATTTTACAATGTTTTTGTGGTTCAAATTCTGCAAAACAATAATTTCCAAAATGAGATTCCATAGATGCTATCCACCAAGAACGCATCAACAATTATGGAATGGTTGACATCAGTTTAATTCTCCCATTCAAAAAATTTAAGACTTGGTAGCCAGTACAATGCTTTATTAGCTGTAACTATTTGCCACAATTTTATCCCATGACATATTTAGAGGCAAAGGTAGGTCCCTGAAGATACACACATTCCCCTCCAGCCAGATTGAACAATCTTGAGAATGGATTGTGTGTCTGTTGCTAGAAAAGAACAAGCCAATATGTAGGGGAAGATGGGCAACGTTTCTGCCATTCAGTCCCTGTATATCAGCAAGAATACATTTGACAAATAATGCTGATAGAGATTTTAAGACATCAGGGATGATATGGTCAGAATACACCATAAATATAGGATAAAAACCAGAATAATATTTGAGGAATATTAACATTAATATTCCGCCAACACAGACAAACCAAAGAATCCCATAAACAATAAACCACACAGGACACATAGTCTTGTTATTCATAAGCAAAACATGCATGCGAGCAAATAAAAGATTTACTAACTAATGAAAAGCGTCACCTCAAAAACAAGGATAATAATGATGGAGAGAAAATATAATAATCAGAAAAAGAAAAAATACCTTTAATAAATCGATCTCTTGCTGAATATCACGCATCCACCCAATGATAGAGTAACCAAAGGCAAAAGAACAGTCAATCAGTGAAAATCAAAGTATGTCATAAAAGCAACAATATGACATTCATAATCAAAAGAAATTATGTTGACCACTAAGCATTGAACTCATATAACCGCTCTTCAGCCAGATTTATATTTGAAATAACTCAGTGAAAACTCAGAATTCATAAACCTCAAGCACCACAGGTATTACTTCTGATGACAAAGGAGTAATTGTAGGAAGTGACAGAGCTACACTTGAGATTTTCTAACATTAATAATCAAACAATAATTATGAAAAAATAAAGAAATATGAGCACAGTAAATTAGCATGAATTATTTGGGAGCTGAGACCCAATACTGAAGGAAAACAAAATTGCTTCCCGGCCTGCTTTGTAGTAGAAATACCCTTTTAAATACTTAATTATCTGTCAAGAATTGAACAGCCTCCAGCACTACTTACTTGTGATGATGAACGAGTAATAGTAGGAAAGGAGCAGAGGCAAAGCAACACTTGAAATTGTCTGACTTTAATGAGTAAGGATTAAATGAAATTTATTTTTGAAAAAGCCAAGAAAGATGGGCAGATAAGTCAGCAACAACTCCAATAATCAAATTTGCTTGCATCTATAAGTTATTATGGTAAATTAGCATCAATCATTCGATACCCAATGCTGAAGCCAAAAAAGTTAAAATGAAAGAAGTGAATTATTCAGTCTTAATAATCAACACGAATGAACTTGCCAGCTTGTCAAACATATTCTTGAGAGGCTACAATAGTTTCATTTTCTTGGCAGCTGGTGCAGAACCAATTACAAAGAAAAAGGACAAGAATCCTCGATATTGCATTACTTCAGCAAAACATTGAACATCCAAGAATAAGCGAAATTCATATTTAACAATGTAATTATTCATGGCTTAACCGTTCTTGTAACTACTTCTGTTAAAAGTTGGAAAACACCACAAAGTGTCTAAGTGGTAATTGAACAAACTACAACTCTTCAAGAAGTGAAGAATTAAATAAAGGTTAACTACAACTCCAGAAATTAGTCAAAAATTCCAATCAGAATCTTAAAGCAAGGTGCAAATGAAGATGCAACTCTAGTGCAAATGTGCATGTTTAGGTGTTGCTTTTGAGTTTCTCAGGCTCTCAATTCACTGCCAAGGTTTTTTCTTATTCTGCATAATTTTTTTTGGCCAAACTTATTCTGCATAATTTATGTTCATTATTTACAGTTTTATAATGGTCACAGTCACTTCTGCTCATATCAGGGGCCTCTCATCCCAAATCTCGCTTTGACAGACTCAAAAAATTTTCAGAGCCTTCAAGTTTTCCACAATTCGACACATACACAGACAACAAAGTAATGCAGGTTTAACCAGAACGGCAAGACAAAATCATCAAAAAAGCACAAGCACAAACAGCAACAAAAATAAAGTCTCAGCTCCCTGCCCCTATATCCCTCACTCCTACTGACCCTCTCATTTTCATCTAGAAAGGAGCTACTGCCTTCTCCCAAAGATGCTACCGGACAGTTCTTTTTTTATTTTATTTTTGTTATTAGCTCCAATACACACATACCACAATGGGAGAAAGGAGAGAAAAACAATTGAAACGTTCAAAAGTCACTTTTTTTACCATGATGATGTTGAGATCCTCCTGAGCAATATTCTCCAAAGAAACTTGCTTAATTGCAACAAAGTCTCCATTTTCTAGGTCCAAACCTTTGTAAACTCGACCGTATGCTCCTTTTCCTATCTCATCTCCAAGCATCTGCTCCAATTTTCACATGCAAATCAAAGATCATTTAAAAGAAAATTGAAGAACTACAACAAGCCAAGCGTTGATTGCAGCAGACTAAACTGACACAAGAGGCACAGTAGAAAGAACCAGTCAATTGATACAAAAGACATAGATATTTACCCATATAAATTATAGGTCGAAATGAAACTTCCTCTTTTTGAAATAGGCAATTGAAAACGGATATGCAATGTCAACCATCAATTTTCAGACTGAAGAACCAATGTCCCAAACTTCCTTAGATTGTATTGGTATCAGAAAAAATATATATATTATCAAATAACTTTGCAGTCGACCATATAATTGAAACAAACTAAAAGTAAGTCCATCGCTTGATTCAAGATGAAGGTAAAAATTTACAGCACATGATCCTTCTAACCACATTGCACAATGCCATACTACTAGCATGACTGAGACTAAAATTTAAACAATATTTGCCAACACAAGAAAGCTCAGCACTGATCACAAGAACTGAAAGTATCCAATAGCCTGTTCCCTGAAGAAAGCATCTCTGAACTGCCACCGTCGAAACAGGCAATAGCCTCTTTCACCTTTGAGTACTGACACAACTATCCGCATTGCCAATCAAATCGCACAACCTAGTGCCACGAAAATTATCACAGCAGCTGATGCCACCTCATTATTCGCCTAGAGCAATTAATCACACTATCAATATTCTAACCACCAAGTTCATAAAAACTTCGAGCCACCTCTTCCTACCCATCTCCTACCATCAACTCCATTTCCAATCACTACCGGCCAATTACCCACCAGCTTTCCACAATACCGCCACATGCTAATTCTGCCATGATTCCACTGTCAGATTTTTATTGTTGCATGATAGTAGTCAGAGTTCCAAACCAGTACTACCAAACAGCACGTGAATCCAAGACCATTCTGCATTCTGGACTCGGATAAAGAAGCAATGTCCCCTCAAAAGTTGTTGCATGATCGATTCACTAAATTCACTCTTGGTTTTGCTTGCCAATTTCCCACGAAAGAGATATAAATGCATATAATAGATACAAAAAGTGGGGAGAAGAGAGAGCGCGGACACGGGGGGAGTGAGATTTTCACTAGAATGACACTAGAACTAGAGTGCAGAAGCAAAAACAAAGATTACGCGAGACAGCCGCTAGACTGAAGCAGAATGAAAATCAGAATGCAGCTTAAAATACTCATTAAACAATATTCTTCAGGCCTCGAAGTTTATTGAACGACAGGAAGATACACAGCTGAAACTTTTACAGTGCTTTCTAACGCCACATTTAATTAAGATGAAAACAGAGGCTAAATCAATTCAGATCGGTGAAATCCAAAAGCAGATATGGAGAATAAAAGGCACAAAAGAATCAAATAAACAGAGATGTTAGAGGCACAGTGGTCGCGCTTACATATTTGTTGTCGAGGGTCTTGGATTTAAGAAAGGCGGAGGTGGGAGTCTGACGTGACATGACTGGGAAAGTGGAGCAGCTCCGCGAAACCCTAAGAGTAGTGCATGGGAGGAGGAGAGAGCAAGAGAGCAAGATTCCGGCGGGGAGAGAAAGCGGGAGCAGGGAGCCAGAGATGGAGGCTCCGATTGGTAGGAATGAGGTGGGAGCTTTGGAGAAGGAATTTTGAAAAAGAAAAAGAAATGATAATGAGGCCCCAAAGAGCGCCCCAACTCAGCAGCGCATGAGGATACTTTCGTGCCAAAATGGTCAAAATCGAATGTTCTTCCTGTGCCATGAGCTATATACAGCTGTTAATAATAGGCGCGACCGCGAGATCATACTTCCAAGTTCCAAATATCCATCAATTCTATTACACTGCAACATTCTCCTACTCGCGAAACTTGTGGCACCATTTCTCTTTTCTTTTTATCCTTCCTCCGTAATTCCTTCTCGTTTTTTATACGTTCCCGGGATAATCATAGTAATTAGGCAAGATGGCGGGTGTAAAAATATAGGACAAGTACTCAAAAGCATTCATATAAATTTGTTGGCGTACGATCATCGATTTCAATGGCAACTGAGCCCTTTTTCGGTGGGTAATGTGGTAACATTTAACTTTTCAATTATGGTACAATGTTAGTCGTTTGACATTTTTCAATTGTGGTATGTGGCATTTAATTTAAAAATACAATGTTTAATCGTCAAACTTTTCAATTATGGTATCATTTAGTCAACTTTGACATGAGAGTATTTGGATAAAACTAAACCATGATTTTAAAAATAATTTTACAGTATATGAAGTAAATAAATAATTTTAAAAACTTGCCTCAATTTACAAAAGAAAGTGTCTTTTTAAAGCACTTGTATCGTTTTTGAGACACCCCTTTAATTCCAGTGACTTGCTCACCAAATTAATCACCTTAAATAAATAATTCAAAAAGTGTTTAAGGACAAAATTTTATATAATCTTTTTTAATTTTTAATTAAGGGATTAAAGTGAAAAATTAATTAATTAATAACTATTTTTTAAAAAATAATAACATATTCTCAAAACTATCCTCCTTAAAAAGTGGTAAGCTGTTTTTCAAGTATTTTTAATAAATTAAATAGCGCTATTCTCGGTAATGTATATTGTAGAAAATATGGTGTTCTATTTTCCCATAAACACTTTTAAAAAAATACCACATCTGATATTTCATATAAGATCTCGTTTGAATTTTATTTTAATCTTAAATATAAAATCCCAATTTACTTTATCTCTCATATTTATATTTTTTTTCAAATGTCCTTCTAATAATGGTAATTATAACCAATATACTTGATTAGCAAGAAAATTTTAAAAAAAATAATACTTATTTATTACTCCTTCGTTCCTTATTATAAGAAACATTTGATGCTTATGGCATGTTCCTATATATAAGAGACATTTAAAAGTTGTCTCTACTTTTTTGTGTTGATTTCCTATTTTACCCATATTTATTGTCTCCAATTCACACTCTCTCTCCCTCCCACTTCTCTTTCTTTCAATAATTTAATTGTTCTCTCTCATGCTCTCTCTCCTTATTAATGAGGGTATTTTTGGAAAAAAGATTATATTTTTTACACATTGATTGTTCTTAACTAATTTTAACTGCTTTTTTGATCAACGTAATTCGGTTATTCGTCTCTTATAATAAGGAACGGAGGGAGTACAAATAACTAACTTAACTTATGTTATTAATCTATTCAAATTAGTCAATTAGCTCTTATATTTATGACTGAATATAATATTAAGCTGATATAAAACTTCTTTCTTATAAAATTACTTTTAAAATCATGGTTAATCCAAATAAACCAATGAATCAATCATAAATCAAGCTGGAATATTTTTGTAAAATTCTAATTATTATACATTGTGTACATTGTTTTTTTTTTATTTTTAACATTGTGAAATTGACCTTTCAACATACCATCAAACAAATTTATGTCAAGCTAGCTTTTTATTTTTATAAAAATACATTTAAATATAAATTATATTATATTTATTGATTTGGGTTAAAATGTAAATTTATCCTCGAATGTTAGGCACTCGAAAGTTTTTTTTAATATAAATTTGCCTTAAAAATTTAAAATAACATGTAAAAGAGAATATTATTATAATTTTAATCTTTTAGGACAAATTTATACCCAGAAAAGCTATTAGATGAAAATTTTTACAAATTTATATCTTCACCATGTCGATTTGGACATTAATTTCAGTATGGAAAAGATAAAAGTCAAGTTTGCAAATTATCAATTCGGCTCTAAGGAATGGAAGCCCTACCACTAATCTCAATTTAAACTAGTTCTTATGCAATTTTTAATGCATTGGCCGCAGAAAATTTTCAACTCTTAAAGTTATACTAGCTCCGATCTTTAATATAAGAGCTAGTTGACTAATATAAGTAAATTAAAAAATCAATTGGGTCAGTTATTTATAATAAATACGTGTTATCTTTCCTAAAATATTATTACTAATCAAGTGTATTGGTTAGAATTACAGTTATTACCAAGATTATCTTGAAAAAAATGAATAAATTTAAGATGCAAAGTGGATTGGGGTTTTATATTTATAATCAAAATAAAAGTCAAACAAACTTTTATATTAAGGATCAGAGGTACTAATTATATATGGTTATGTAAATGATTACTGTTAGTTATAACTTTTTTTTTTTAACCAAAATAGTTATAACTATATTTACCCCAAGTCTTTTTGGATAAATATTTAGAAAATGTTTTTATAAAAATACAAACAAAGTGAAATTATCAGAAAATCTTTTTGGATTATTAATAAATATACATTTGACTAACCAAACTAAAAGAATAGATTAAGAATTATCGCTTTGTTTCTTAACTATCAACAACTTAATTTTAACACAAGATTGTATAATAGTCCAGCGTCAGGGGTTTGAGTATACGTAGAAGAGATGTACAATATAAATTAGCAGAATAATGAACGTTAAATAATCGCATTTTGACTAATTATTGATACAAGACATTAATTTGAAAAAATGATAAATATAAATATTTTAAAGTAACTGAGTAATTTTTGTAACCTCTTCAAATTAATCAATAAGTAGTATTAATATTGAAAATGATGATGTGAATCTTATTTATCCAAACGTGGATTTTGGAGTAAGTGTTATTCTTGATCAAGAATAAAAAAAATTTCTGGGATCAGTTCAAGAAATGATCATGTATTCTAGGTAAATATTTTTTTTTCCCTCATTATTACATAATTTACTTTTTTTAGTACAAAAATTTTTTTATCCAGGCCTTTGGTCCTATTTAGAAATTGATTCTTTAAGTTGTTTTTTTAAATTAATAAAAGAGAGTTTTTTTTTTTTTGGTTGTGAAGAGAGACATTTTTATTTGCACCATTTCAAGGAAAGTTGATGAACTAGATGGATGCACAAAAGATATCCAATAAAGACCTAAAATTTTCAATAATAAATACAAATCTACTACTCAGAGTGTGTTTGGGATCACGGGGAAGGATCCCAGACTGACTTTTTTACTGGAAAAAACTTTAAAAAGTAACTTTTTATTTAAAAGAGATGTTTGGATTCACCATGAAGAGAGATAGACTTATACCAGAAACAGATTTTTTTTCAAAAGCTCCTGCCTTCAACTTCTTCACTGCTGGTCAAAAGAAGCTTCTCCACTACACACTTCGTGGGGCCCATGAGTGAGGGAGGAGAGACAATGCATGATGTGAGTTCTTTTTTTTTTTTAATCCAGCTAATTGGTTTTTTTTTTAAAATAAATTTATTATTCTTAAAAAATAACTATTTTAATTTTTTTGACAATTATTACATTATAAACATATAATATAAATATATTCTATTTAATAAAATTTATGTCTTTTTCAGTCATTTTATATCTAAACTTATTTTTTAATTAATCATCCAGACAAGTTTCAACTTCTTAAACTGATTTTTTTTTATAAAAATCAATTCAAATATAAATCACATTACACTACCTGATTTTTACCTATCTAACTTTTATAAAAATCAAATTGAAAAAAAGTAACTTCTCCCACCGCTAATTCAAACACAACCTCAATTAGTCACAAATGCTTTTTGACAAGCATCTGCCGCAATACGAGTCTTGCACTAAGGCCCTGTTTGGACGACACTGGAAACCATGGTTTGGAAGGCCAAACCATGGTTTGCACAAAATGTCATCCAAACATACAGGCATTTTGCATAAACCGTGGTCCTGCTTGAAACCATGGTTTCCACCGGTGAAACCATGGTTTCATCAGAAGCAAGAAATTCTCGCTTCTGGCTGAATATATGAAGGCAACGGCATTTGACCCAAAAAGACCCTTGTAATCTGCAGCTGGTCGACACCCAATAATTGAAGGCAACGGCATTTCACTACTCTGCTCGCACATTCTCTTCGCTCTGCTGTGCTCACGATTCTCTTCGCTGTGCTCTGCTCGCGTCGCGATCACTCTTCCGCTATAAGAAAAGAAGAGAAAAGAGAGGGAGAGAGGGAGAGATAATAAACCCGTTTTACGGATGCTATAAGAAAAGAGTAGTGGGAAATCCAATCACCGGAAACGGTCTGAGTCTGAAGGTTCCGTTGACGGAGAAGATGGCTCCGTTTTGTGCAACAAGTGCCGGGCGCACGGGCGGGAGAAAAACTCCGTCATTCCTTTCGATAACAACGGACCAAACAAGCACTTGTCGTTGTTGGCAAGTCCGAATGGGATTTTCAAGTCCATTCTCTTCATGTTGACGCGGAAGAGTCCCAAGCCCACCGGGGCTCCATCGACGACGACGGCGATGACGAGAGAAGAGCAGTGGAAAATTGCGGTGGCGGAGCTATCTCACAAACTGATTCAGGCAACTTGAAAGAGGGACGAGGCTCTTCTAGAAGCTTCGACGCTCAAACACTCCGTGCTTGAATTAGAGAAGAAACTCAACAAACTAGAGCTGTATTGCCTGAATTTGAAATCTGGACTTGAAGAATGCAGCAACTTGTCGCCTTACAGAATGGAGAATCCTCAAAACTCTCGTCAAATCAGCCACCAAAACACCGTCGTCGAACGTTTCTTGTGCTCTGTCTCTGAATCTCGGTCTTCAGTCCGGCTTCTCAGCCGTTCTCTCACTCTGCAGCTCCGGCACATGGGAGCTAAAGTTCACGAGAGAGTCTCCGTTCTTCTTCAACCTTATGATATAAAAATCTCATCCGCCAAGAACCCCAGAAGCTTGCTTTTCTACCTAGAAGCACTCTTGAAAAAAACTTTATTTGAGGACTTTGAATCTGTGGGGTTCCAAAAGAACTCGTCAAATCGCATACTGAACCCAATGGAACGATGCGAGGCGAACTTC